TCGACATAGCCTCACAAGGTTGGCATTCTCATTAAAAATGAGGCTTGAGGCTTTTTTTTTTTTTTTGTGGCACCAGGGCCACCTTTCTGCATTGTTTCTCTTTTCTATTCATTGCAGTTAAGAGAAAATGGGTCCCCAAACTCCTGAGGACTGCATTCCTCTGAAGAATTGAAATTAAAGGACCGTACCTCAATCAGAGATTAGCAAGCAGCATTTTTAATATTTGTTCTTGTTGGTGGTGTTTCTTTTGAGGTGTATGCGTGCGTGTGTGTGTGTGTTCTGAATACCTCCATAACATCCCCTAAACGCCTCTAGACACAAATTGTTAAAGACCTGGAAAAAATTTAACACTGGCTGTGGTGGCTCAAGCTAGTAATCCCAGCCCTTGGGGAGGCTGAGGCAGGAGGACAAATTTGTTTTCATCCCATCTGGCTAAACTGTCTGCTGTTTCTATTTCCCCTTCTTGGTCCCAAATCCTCTTCCTCAGAGTCAGTGCTCCAATCTGTGGGGGAAAGCAGAGCGACTGGAAAATTCCCCCTTTCCCAAGCTCTTAGGAGCAGCCGTACCATGATGGGGACTGGTTCTACAGGGAGGTAGTCTCTGGGTGCTTGAGAAGGGTGAACATTAAGTCCCTGAAATGCTCACAAGCTTTTCCCTAACTTCCGCTGGGAGGGTTGGGGAGTGACATGGCCAGAAATATTTTTAAGGCATTTTATAAGAATGTATGAAATCACAGAGGAGTAAGCCTAGGACTTCATAGCTCTAGGTAAGTGCTTTACCTCTGGGATTTCCTCACACCCTCTCCCCCTTTTTTCCTTTGGAAAAAAGTTGGAAAAAAGTTGTTCAGGCAAGCTAGGAACTTTGTGTAGCCCAGGCTGGCCTTGAATTGTGAATCCTTGCTTCTGCCTCCTGAGCTTCTGGGATTATAGACTTATACCACCAGGCCTGGCAAAATGATTTATTTACCTATGAATTGTTTTGTCAAAGCCAGTGGTTCTGGGTTGAGAGACAGCTCACAGTTAAGAGTGCTGCCCACTCTTCCAGAGGACCTGAGTTGGATTCCCAGCCCGCAAGCCCTGCAACTCACAACTGCTTGTAACTACGGCTCTAGCAGATCCGATACTCTCTTCTGACCTTCTCAGGCACTGTGCTCATGTGTACAAATTCAACACAGACCCATTCATATGCACACAATGAAAAATGATAAAAATATTTTAAGGACCATAGAATTTGGAGAAGAAATAGGAAAAATAAAGGTAGTCTTTTGCTCTGTTAGCATTTTATTTTTCAGAATTAATTAATTAATTAATTAATTAATTTATTTATGTTTTTCAAGGTAGGGTTTCTTTGTAGCTTCAGAGCCTGTCCTGGAACTCACTCTGTAGACCAGGCTGCCCTCAAACTCACAGAGATCTGCCTGCCTCTGCCTTCTGAGTGCTGGGATTAAAGGCATGCGCCACCGTGCCTGGTTGATCATTTTCTTAATTAGATATTGATGAGGGCGGACCCAGCCCTTTGTGGGTGGTGCCATCTGTAGACTAGTGATCCTGGGTTCTCTAAGAAAGCAGGCTGAGCAAGACAGTAAAACAGCACCCCTTCATGACCGCTGCATCAGCTCCTGCTTCCAGGTTCCTGCCATCCTTGAGTTCCTGTCCCCATTGCTCTTCCTGATGAACCGTTTGGAACTCTGAGTGAAATAAACCCTTTCCTCCCCGAGTTGCTGTGGTCCTGGCGTTTCATCACAGCAAGAGTGACGCTTGCCCTTCCCTGAGGCTGTGATGCCGAAGGCACTCAGTAGACGTAGCCCACGATCTTGGACTTCCTCGGAGCCACATTCCAAAGAAACCTCTCTCTCTCTTTTTTTTTAATATGTAATTTTCCAAGTCTGTGGTATTCTGAACAATTAGTATGGCCACAGGGAATTTTCATTAGTGACTCATGGATGTCCTTCCTTATATGCAGGAAGGGGCTTGTAAGGAGGGGAGCCTATGAGCTGTGAATATTTTTTTTACTATACCTTTAATTTTTTTCATTTATGTAATTTGTTTGTGATTTTGAAAATTATGCTAGACTCATAATAAAAGGTCAGACCTGGTGTCTGTCTTGTTTGTCACTACAATTTAAGTTAGGTGGGTATGTACTTGCATATGAAGAAGATCCAGCTAGCAACAGAAAGCCAAACCTAGAACCATGGCAGTGGGCCGGAAGGATAGTCGATGACAAAGTGTGTTTAGCATGTGCCAGGCCCTGGGTTCCCACCCCAACACTGGATAATAGGAACAGTAGAAAAATAAGACTTAAGTGATTTTGTCAAAAGCAAATACGTCCTACGGCTAAAGATGTAGTTCAACATGTGGGCTGCTTGCCTAGCATCACAAGGCCCTGGTTCAAACCCAGCCCTGTACAAACTGTACAAACAAGGGGTTCACACTTGTAATCCTAGCATTCAGGAGGCAGAGGCAGGTGGACCAACACTTCAAGATCATTCTCAACTACACAGTCTGAGGCCAGACCAGACTATCTGACGCCCTGTCTCAAAACAAATAAATAAAATTTAAAGTTGATAATGAGGGAAAACTTGGAAAATAGAGTTTAGAGTTTAGTGCTGAGGGGAGCTGCTCAACCAGCAGATTCTCAAACAGGGCACACTAGGGTGGAATTAATGCATTACAGGTTATACAATCTATAGCTTGTTGGGAAAGTTAAGGGCTTATAGGGCCCCGGGGAGCGGAACTAATGCCAACGAAGTACAGTTCTTCTCCCGCGGCAATCGTAGCATCTCAGACCTGTGGGGTGCAGGTGCGCCAGCAGGATGCTGCCTACCGGAGGTGGTTGTGGCTGCGCGCTCCATATCCTGGGCTCAGGCCCCTTTAAGATTGATCATCACTGTACCCATCTGTCGTTGGGAGGCCCTTGTAGATCTGGGAAACCAGATACCATCCGCTGGTGTCTGCCGAATATCTGGGTAGGTAGTGCGGACGGCAGGAAGCCAGCGCAGGCGGCTGCTACAGGAAAGAGTGCCCAGCTGGGCAGGATGGGGCTGCTAGGCCTACACACACCAGACTCTGCATCTTCCTGAAGAGCGGGGAGCATACGATTGATACCAGCTACTCAAACCACAAAAGACACCAGGGCTGAATGCGTGGCCTCGGTTGCACTGGATCAAGACGTTAAAGGTGGCCGGTTCCCTGGTGGCCGGTTTCCGGCTGCTCATGTAGCGGCCCCGTTCATTCTGAAGGTCAAGCAAGCATAACCCGGAGCTCATTAAGCATAGTGGGCAGTTTTCTGTGTCAAAGAAGACCAGATAAACCCAAACTGCAAGCATACAAGTGCAGCTTGGTCCAAGGAACAGGAAGGGCTTGGCAAAACTCATTCCCTTTCTCCGTATGTTCCATCAATGCTTGCTTGCCCCTTCTAGATGGACGTAAAGAGAAACAATTAGAAAGAGAATTGCTGCTGTGGCCTTAAAGTTGACATGTAACAGTTTTTTCTGATGTAGCAAACACTCTTGTAGCAAAGGTTCTTGTAGCCCGGTGCAGTGCTATTTTTGGAGGTGCGGTGGATCTTTAGGACGAGGAGCCTTGTGGGAGACCTTTCGCTTTTTGAGAGTATGCCCTTGAAGGGGATTATGGGATGGTCTGTCTCTTCGTGTCCTGGTTCATGATGTAGGCAGTTTGTCCCAAATATACTCCCATCATGATGTCCCTTCCTTGCGCAAAGCAATGGAGCGCTTCAGTCTTGAACTGAAATCTCTCCAGAACCATCAACTAAAATAAATCTCTTTATTTCATAAGTAGCTGCAGCTGGGACTTCACTGTAGCGATGGAAGGCTAATGCTGTTGCCGGCTGATTTTTGTGTTTCCAATTTAGAGAGCAGGCAAACCGAAAGAGACCAACTCTTTATGATCCCAGTTTGAAAATGGTAGGTCAGGAATGGCTGGCCCTGCCCGGGACAGGCACCTCCTTTGACAAATCAACTCAGGTGGCAGCCGTGTGTGCACACAATGGAAGAAACGTTAAATATTCTGTATCACAGCCCTGAGCCCGCTGCTGTGACAGTGACCCCAAACAGTGGATGATTCATCAAGTCAGGAGAAAGGGGTGCTGTGTAAATTCCCAGATAGAAATACTGAAATAAAAACCGGCATGCAAACCGGCATGGGTCTGCTGTGCGGCTGACTACAGTTTTTGGAACCTTCTTTAAAGGTGTGTGTGTGTGTGTGTGTGTGTGTGTGTGTGTATCTTGTTTCTAGCATAAAATCAGGGACAAAGTAAATATTTGCTAAATATGAGAAAATAACAAATTCCCAGGACTCTGGTGCTTCAGACAAAGTGGGGTACATCTAGAGAGCTATGGCTGTAGACACAACAACTTTGGAGTTTCAGGTCCTTCTCTGAAGCACGATTAATAAAAACTCAGGGTCAGAAATCGGGGTTCAACCTGAAGATCCAAAAAGCAAAACAGCCAGCCACTGGCTTTTACCTCAACGTCAGTTTGATCTTGCTTCCGGTAATCTCAGGGTGAGAATGTCCTGAGAGCTGTCTTCCCTGTCTTATGTTCTTCTCTAAGGCTGGGATTAAAGGCATAAACCATTGGGATCAAAGGCATGCACCACCTGACTTCTAGGGCAACTAGTGTGGCTACTGAGATTAAACGTGTGTGTTATCATAATCTGTCTAAGACTGGCCAGTGGGACCGTTTTATCCTCGGATCTTTAGGCAGTCTTTATTTATTAAAATACAATTGAAATGCCAATACACCTCTTCAGTCAATTTACCATACATGCTTCTTTTAATTAAATTTTGGAAATTATCATTATTGTGTATGAGAGGGGAGGATTGCCAGGACACGCTTGTGGAGGCCGGAGGACAACCCTTGTGAAATCGGTTCTCTCTTTCACTCTGCGTGTGTTACGTAGATTCCCAGGGTGGAAGTCAGGCCTTTTGCCAGCCCCAGACTTGGGTCTCAATGGCAATCTGTTCTCTGTATGTAGAACTCACCACAGCTGCAGCCACTGCAACATTCCCAGGCACCCAGACGGGTGAGGGGCTCTGCAGCTCCTGCTGCATCAGCTCGCGGGATATCTGCCTTGGTGCCGAAGTAAAATCCTGCGATAGAAGAACACAGACGCCCAGCTGATGGTTTTCCACTATCTCCTTATGCACAACCTCGAAGGATATTGGTATTTATGGTTAGGAGCTTCCCAACACGTCAGCTTCCTACGTAGAGAAACTCCTCAAAGCAGTCTATAGATAAAATGGGAGTTTAGAGTACTTGCCTAGCATGCACGGATTCTTGGAGCCAATCCCTAGTATACACCTGTATGACACACACCTGTATGACACACACATGTATGATACACACCTGTATGACACACCTGTATGACACACCTGTATGACACACACCTATATGACACACACCTATATGACACACACCTATATGACACACCTGTATGACACACACCTGTATGACACACACCTGTATGACACACACACATGTATGACACACACCTATATGACACACACCTATATGACACACCTGTATGACACACACCTGTATGACACACACCCATATGACACACCTGTATGACACACACCTGTATGACACACACCTATATGACACACACCTATATGACACACCTGTATGACACACACCTGTATGACACACACCTGTATGACACACACATGTATGACACACACATGTATGACACACACATGTATGACACACACCTGTAGTTCCAGCAGGAAGAGCAGAAATCCAAGGTCATCTTGAGCCATGTAGAGAGGTCAATGCTGTTCTGACCTGCATGGGACACAGTCTCGAAATTAAAAAATGGAGCTTAGATGACTCAACAGTTCAGAGCCTTTGCTCAGTAGTCATGAGGGCTAGAATTTGAATCCCAGCATCTCTGTAATAAGCCAGGTGTCCCCACAAACGCCTATGACCCCAGCTCTCAGGGAAGATTGCTGGCACTTGCTGGTTTGCAGTCTCGCCTAGAAGTCATGAACCTGAGGTTCAGGGAGAAATCTTGACCTGAAAGGAATGGATGGGGAGTGTGCTGGAGAGTTTTAGCTTGACATGAGCTAAAGTCATCTGAGAGGAGGGAACCTCAATTATGAAAATGCTTCTACAATACAGGGTTAAAGGAAAACCTCCAGGGCATTTTCTTATTTAGTGATTGATGAGAGAGGGCCCAGGCCATTGTGGGTGGTGCCATCCATAGGCTGGTGGCCCTGGGTTCTATGAGAAAGAAGGTTGAGCAAGTCAAGATGGTCAAACCAATAAGCAACTCCCTCCACAGCCTCTGCATCAGCTCCTGTCTCCAGGTTCCTGCCCTGTTTGAGTTCCTGTCCTGACTTCCTTCAATGATGGTCTATAACACAGAAGCATAAGCCAAATAAACCCTTTCCTCCCCAGCTTGCTTTGGGTCATGGCATTTTATCATAGCAATAGAAGCCCTAACTAAGACAGACACTGACAGAGGACGCTCAGCACCTCATGTAGCCTCTTCAAGCACACAGACACGGCCACCCTCACACACAGGTACATATACACAGAGACATGCATACTGCATAAAATAAACAAACTTTAAGAAACAAACTGGGCCGGGCAGTGGTGGCGCATGTCTTTAATCCCAGCACTCGGGAGGTAGAGGCAGGCGGATCTCTGTGAGTTCAAGGCCAGCCTGGTCTACAAGAGTTAGTTTCAGGACAGGCTCCAAAGCTACACATAGAAACCCTAAGAAAAACCAAAAGAAAGAAAGAAAGAAAGAAAGAAACAAACAAACAAACAAACAAACTGGACTATTATATAAATAAGATGACCCTGGGCTGATAACTATTGGTGAAGCTCACTTTTTTTATTTTTTATTTATTTATTTATTTAGTTTTTGGTTTTTCAAGACAGGGTTTCTCTGTGGCTTTGGAGCCTGTCCTGGAACTAGCTCTTGTAGACCAGGCTGGTCTCGAACTCAGAGATCCGCCTGCCTCTGCCTCCCGAGTGCTGGGATTAAAGGCATGCACCACCACCGCTCGGCTCACTTTTTTAAAAATAAGATTCATTTCTTATTTATATCTATGCCTGTGGGTATGTGCACCTGAGTGCAGGTGCCCAGGAAGAGCAGAGGCATCAGATGCCCCTGGAGCTGGAGTTACAAGTGGTTTTGATCCGCAAGACATGGATGCTGGGAACTGAGCTCAGGTCCTCCATAAGAGCAGTGTTCTTTTTGTAAATTTTATTTATTTTATGAGCATTGGTATTTTGCGTGTACATCTGTGCGAGGGTGTTGGATCATCTGGAACTGGAATTACAGACGGTTGTGTGCTGCCATGTGGGAGTTGGGAATTGAACCTGGGTCCTCCAGAAGAGCAGTCAGTGCTCCTAACCACTGAGCCATCTCTCCAACTCCCTGGAGTGCTGTCCCAAGGGGCAACTGAGCAACCGATTGGACAGCTCACTTGGATTAAACAAACTCTAAGATGTATAGTGAACTGCAAGGGGCGTGGATTTGGAGTAAGAACCCGAGCTGAGACCCCATTCTAAGTCTAGCTATAGGATGATTGTGATGCTATAGGATGGTTTATGTGTGTATTTTTAAATAAAAATGAAAGGCAAATGATTTTATTTTATTTTATTTTTTAATATTTATTTATTTATTATGGATACAATATTCTGTTTGCATATATGCTTACAGGCTAGAAGAGGGCACCAGACCCCATTACAAATGGTTGTGAGCCACCATGTGGTTGCTGGGAATCGAACTCAGGTCCTTTGGAAGAGCACGCAATGCTCTTAACCGCTGAGCCATCTCTCCAGCCCAAGGCAAATGATTTTAAATACCTATTTGAGTACAAGTAACTCAGCTAATAAGACAGCACATCACAAATTATTTATTTCCCTTCTTCTGCCTTTTTCCAGTACCGAGACTCTACAATTTCCTGGCCTCCAGGTTTTGTCTTAAATAGCATTGGCCAGCCTGATGCACAGTGGTAATAATCCCGCCTCCAAGCCTGACCATCTGAGTTTGCATCTCGAGGCCGCATCTCGGGGCCCACGTGATGAAAGGAGACCACACCCAGGCCCTCGTGTTTGCTGGACCAGCACTTGACTGACTGAGCCATCTCCTCAGCTCAAGTCTTAAGAAGCCCTCACATATCTAAGGAACTTTCCTGGTGTCTTCAGGAAGATTCATTTGGTCAGGTATAAAATACATTTTTGTGCAAATGAGCTTAATGCCTTGATAGAAGGCAGTGACACTCTTATATATTCTTCTATTCAATTTGCTATATTATCTCAGTTAGAAAATGGAATAAGAAGCTGGCCTCTCCCACATATCGAACTGGGAAAGAACATTTCATATTTTCAAGTAATTCTGGGTGTCCTCCCTTGACACTGTACTAAAGCCGAAGAAGGAGTTGTTCCTTACAACGAAGTAGCCACGTGACACCAATAGCTCTATCGCTGAGCCTCCTGCTGCACCCAGAACCCTTTGATCTGCATTTTCATAAGTGGAAAAGGAATCTTTCCCTGTGTACGATTTTGTGGCTACCATGCAATTGGCCAACTGGAAAATTTGGTTCACTGAGTTATATATCTTGCAAATGTTTGCACATTTCATTAAATGATATCAAAGCAGTCACAATCATTTATGTGACCACAAGGCTCATCAGAAAACATTTTCAGGTCCTAGGGATCTGAGCCCAGAGAGACGGGCACAGCTCTCTCTACACTTGAACTTCAGACCTTGTCTTGATTCTGGTGCTGAGGACAGAACCTCACACCTCGTGAGCGAGGCCATCATCACTGACATCAAATACAAAAACAAAAAATTGCTTTCTTTGAAATAACCAGATTGTTTTGTTCCTTTTCAGGCGACAGTGATGCTACCTGAAAGCAGCAGGCAGGTTAGCTTGCAGTTCACACGTGTGTTCCCTTGATCCTCCAATCCATAGGCTGCAGGGTGCTTTGTGGGTAATCCCTAGTTGTTCCATGGAATAGGATGAAAAATGTACGCTCAGGTTCAAACTTACGGAAATGAGAGTTCTCGTTCCACCCAGGACGCTCCTCCTTTCCTGTGAGTGTGTGGAGGTGAGGAGCAGTGGTGACCAGTGTAGCTGGCACCATGGCCCAGCCGCACCGCACAAACGACACCACAGGAAGGAGGCCAATAAGGAGCTAGTTACACAGCGACAGTGGGGAGATTTCAAAGACCCATGGGACTCATGGACGCTGCTTTGACAATACCTGTTTTACTACATCCTCTTGGCTTACTTAGGACTAAGAAAGTCGTAATCTTTCTTCCCCATATTGACATCCATTTTCCACAGGTGTCTTATGTTTGACGTTGTAGGAATCAAGAATAATATTCGTGGCTGGGCGGCGGTGGCGCACACCTTTAATTCCAGCACTCGGGAGGCAGAGGCAGGCAGATCTCTGTGAGTTCGAGGCCAGCCTGGTCTACAAGAGCTAGTTCCAGGATAGGCTCCAAAGCTACAGAGAAACCCTGTCTCAAAGAAAAAAAAATTTTGTTATTCTGACTGCTTTCAGAACTGATAGTGTTCTTATTTTGTACCTGGATCTAGTTACCTTTTTCTTTAATATAGTGATCTTTGAGCTAGAAGCTTAAAAAACTTTTCTATTTTGACTTCCTTCCCATTCTCCCCTCTACTTAGACACAGCAGTTATTAGTTTTTAATTAGTTTTATTTTATTTTTATGTATATTTATGCACCATATGCATGCTCAGTGCCGGCAGAAGCCAGAAGAGGCCATTGTATTCTGTGACTGGAATTATAGATGGTTGTGAGCTACCATGTGGTTGCTGGCATCAAATCTGGGTCCACCAGAAGAGCAGCCCGTGCCATCAGCCACTGAACGGTCTCCAGGGCCCCCGGAAACAATGGCAATTCTGGAATTTCATGTTTTCTGTCCTCTACTGCCATAATCCTTCTCTCATTATTTCATTCACTGACATTTTTTATTACACTTATTTGTTTTGTGTGGGAGGCTCCCATGGCAACATGCAGAGGTCAGAAGATAGCCTGGGGATGTTGGTTCTCTCTTTCCACCATGTGGGCCCTGGGATTGAACTCAGATCGTCAGGCTTGACTGCAGACACCTTTGTCCACCGAGCCAACTCACCAGCCCTTTCCAGTCATCCTCTTCCCTCATTCTCAGCATGTTTGCCTTTCTGCTATTACTCCCTGAGACATCTATGACAAGCTCTATGTCGGTTTATGTTGAACTGCTTTGAATCTTTCTCTTGTTTATTGCTGATTTGATTTCCTTACAAGTGTTCCCATACTTTATGTTCAGTGCGTTTTATGTCGCTATCTTTTCAGCTCCCTCCTTCCCCCTTTATGATTGATTTTTGCTCCCCTTTTGGAGATGTGTGCCCTTGCATCCCAATGAAGACCTAGCTACTACCAAACGGAACAGGAGCTGTGGGTTTCCCTTGGCTCCAGCAGCACTAGTCTGTGGAGTACCTCAGCCGAGTGCCGGCAGCTCGATGCCTGGGTCTGTCACACATCTCTTCAAGTAGCTTTGACGGAACAAGAGGACATCTTCTAACTTCTGAAGCTGAGATGTAGGAAAGTACAGCTTCTGTCACTTGGTATTTTCCTCAGCTTGGGGAGAAATTCTTCCCGGAACTTTCATGGCGTCTCTACCATCCCTTGCCCTGAGCTTTTCTGTGAAGGTAAAGGATTACTTCAGATGAGTTTAGGAAAATCGACCTGTATCGGTCTGTCCGCAGAATGTAGAATCTTTTCATCATCCTCTTTTGTGTTTTTTTGTTTTGTTTTT